ACAAGGGAGTCATTAGTTGGGGCTTTAGTTTGTTTTTACTAACAATTTCTCACTGAACTTCACCTCAGAATTCACAACCCAATTAGCAACCCAGGAATTTTATACAACATACAAAAAGGGAGGTGCACAAACAGGTTTCATGAAAACAAAAGGGCCAACTAAAAAGTGCTGTCTAAATTAGCTTTTATGACAGGCTAAGAAGATGACAAAACCCATTCTGAGGGTACTGGTGTCACACACACCAGCTCTTGTCAAGCCAGGTGCCAAGACACTGACTTCAAAGATAAGGCAGAAGGTAAAATGGGTGTTACCAGCCACCATTAGTGGTATAAGGTACTTTTACCCAGTCTTCCAACACATAGGATTTTAATTTGGGATCTGGGAGATCCAGGCAGAGTTCTCTCTTCAGCCTCACCACATCCAAAAATGCAATTCCTGGTTCTGGCATAAAGGTACCTAGCACAGAAAAGGCTTCTTGGTGCCTCAGTCAGAAACAGTTCCACTTTGTACACCACCTGATCAAGAAAGGCTGTGACTGAAGACACAGAAAACTCTTCCTCTCTTCCATCAGGAGGGAGTATTTCAATCACTCATCATCATTCCATAAAACTGACAGCTTTGGTTTCTTACATAACCTGTACTGCTGGCAGCAGTGTCAGCCAGCAATCAAGAGGTGTAGATCTCAACAGGGCTGCAGGAGCCATCTCTGCTCGGCTTTAAAGCCCATGGCACACCCACTTTATTAAACAGATTGAGTCCTTTTCCCTGCCATCCCTTGGTTTTCCTGTAACACAAGCAAAGCTGAGACCTGTCGTGGTTCCTCTTTATGGCTCGTAAATCCATGTACAGGTTTGTGGCTCTGCAGTGCTGGAGGTACCGAGAGCACGTCAGAGATGAATCTCCCTGTTGAGAAACCAACCAGTTTCATCAACAAAAAGAGCCACGTTTAAAGACAAGTCAAAAGTGTCATATCTCTGAGAAATACTCACTGCTGCTGCAGGCTTACAATGGGTTTTCATTTCACTGAGCCTCTCCTGAACGTAACCAAAGTCAGCTTGTTTCCAGAATATCTGTTGGGCTGTCTCAATGTCACTTGCCCTGGTGGAGGGAGGAAAAAAATCAAGGTCTGTTGCTCAATTCTAGTAATAACTTTAACAAATAACATTTTTTTTCCACTGGAAGTGGATGGAAGAGCCAGCCAGTTGCTTCACTGACATTTAAGATGCAAAACAGGAAGCAACTTATCAGCTGCATGTAAGTGAAAACATCAAAGACAATTTAAAGCTATTCTCCCGTAAAAGGGTATACTCTAAAAAATATTCTTTCCTCTCTATTTTTAAAGCTAAGAAAGGAAATCCAGAGTTATTTTAGGAATCTGAATTCAAGGCCAAATCAGAATAACGAAAACACTGTGGCAGAAAGCATTTCAAACAGTATTTTCTTCCTTAAAAAGTTAAATTGTTAAAATCACACTGAAAGACATACGTGATGGATAAACACACATCTATATAAACACACACTTACCTCCACAAAGACTCAACCTTTAAACTCATTAAATATCACAACATTAACTCCACAGCTAATATGAAAGTGAACACTACACTTTTTTTTTTTTTTCTTTTACAACGCTGTACTTTATCCTTTTAAAATCAGACTTACCAACCAGTTTCAACATAATCACACACTGGGTAAGTGAACCTGTACTCTGGTTTGCAAGATTTCTCATAACCCCAGCAGGATTTTAGTTTCTTCAAGTATTTCTGTAACACAGAACAACTGAATCAGATTATGCAACAGCAAAATAGGAAATGACTTCAGTTCACTGTTAGCTTATAAACTACCCCTTGCTAATAAATCTTACACAAATGGCTTTGGGTTTATGGAAATTGAAAAGTTTCCTGAACTTTTTTGGTTCTAGAGACCTCAGAGCCACCAGAATTGCTCCCAAGCCACACGCAGCCTGGGTTCACTGTCCCTGCTCCAAGTGAATGAATTATGTGGGACCACAGGGTAAGATAAATCAGCATTTCATTGATTTCCCCATACTCTTGGCAGCCCCACAGAAGTACTACAGCATGTCAGTATTCACAGGCCTAGGAACTAAGTGTACTCAGTTCCAACACCAGGAGTTGTTCAGGTTAATATCAGTTCAGCTCTGCAAAAATTAAAAGAGGAGAGATAAAAAAATATTGCTAAACAGTACATCAAAAATCCAGTTTTGTGACAGCATCAGATTCAGGAAGGCCCCTATGCAACTATTTCCAAATATTCCAATTCTCAGTAGAACCAATTAATTGGCAAGGAGACCAATTTATGACTGTCTTTAATTGCTACACCTCCAAGAACAAACCACCCCAACATTATATTTGAATAAAAAAAAAATACCCAAAAAAAACCCAAAACCAACAAAAAAACACCCACAAACCTACTTTATATGGGCAATGAGAGTCCTGCTTACAGATACCAGCAATGTCCCGATTGTTGTGCAGAAAGTAGGGAATATGCTCATCAGGCAAGTTGATAGATTTGTAGCTATATAACGGCTCTTCTAGAATATTTTTGAAGTCAGTAATATTTTCAGTTTGGGAATTAGCCAGAATTTCTTGCAGCAGCAATCCAAATGCAAGCAACATGAACATGGCAACTTAGTTCTGTACTTAGGAGCAAAAAAAAACATAAAGAGACTTCAGTTATCATTTCAAACACACGAGACAACGTCCAGCCACAGTCAGTCATATAACCAAAGAATTTGTATTTCTGGGGTGGTTTCTTTTTCCTAGGGTAAGTACACTTTCACTAAGAGACCAGACTGCAGAGCCTCAGGGTTATCTTTGAGCCATTAGCCACTGTGGGTTATTACACACTACCGACTCACAGTCAGACTAAAATGGGTGTGTTTATTTTAGCCAAATCCCAAGGGATCCTGAGAGTTCAAACATGGAAACTAAGTATAGAGCAGGCAATAGCCAGACAGCAGAAAGAAAATGTAGAAGCACAGAGGGGAGGGGTGAGAAAAAGAGGAATTTTAGTTTAAAAATAAATATAAAAAATGCTACATTTTCCGCTTTGGAAAAAACAAATCATTAGCTGAAGGAAAGTTATGCAGTCACACACAAAAAAAAGGTCAAATCGAAGTCTGCTTCAGGATGCTTGGTTTCAGCAGTGAGCATCATGTCAGGGACTTTGAATTCTGAGTTACATGCTTAACTACAGGCTCACGGGTATCAGTATCCTCTGAAGCAGACGGGGTACCCTTCTGGCAACACAACCTTTGCACCAAGCCCCCCTGCTCTGAGCCATTAAACTTCACGAGGAAAAAAATCCAGATGACTTATATCTAAAATAAAAAAAAACTTTTCTGGGGCATATAATTTGCCAGAATTAGCATGCTTGCTTTCAACTGGGACCTTAAGCAATATTCCTACGATAGAAGTAGTTTTACCTGTTTGGTTTGAGGAGAACTGCTTCAGATTTCCCAGGCGCACAAACCTAGTGGTGAGAGAAAAGCCGAGCTCAAGACGTCCCGTTCCTCAGATCGCAGTCCTGCTTCTGCAGAG